GTTGGGGTTGTAGACGGTAAAGAGAAATGTAAATGTAAGGGTTGTGGAAAATTCATGAGTTGTGTTGCTATTAATGGAACTTCTCATTTAACTCGTCATGTTAACAGTTGTAGGTTTATCCCAAAATTTCATGATGGGAGTGATATGATACTTGATTCCGAAGGAAGATTGAGAAAGAAAAAGTTTGATCCTAAGGTTAATTGTGATATCTTGGCTTAAATGATAATTACACATAATGTACCTTTTAACTTTATTTAATATAGTGATAATTACATCCCTTTGGATAATGCCTCTGCAAATGATAGCATGCAAAGATTATTGAAAGAACACTTAGGATTGTCAAATAGCTTGTTATTTAAGGGAAAGTTCTTTGATATTCGTTGTTATGCGCACATTTTAAATCTCATTGTTCAAGGTGAATTGAAGGTAGTTGGTGATGCATTGCATAAAATTAGACAAAGTGTGGCTTATGTAAAGATAACCGAAAGTAGAACACTACAATTTCATAAATGTGTTAGTAATGTTGGGGAGATCAATACAACAATTGGATTAAGATTCGATTGTGTTACTAGATGGAACTCTACTTTTATAATGCTCAAGAGTGCGATTAATTATCGTCATGCCTTTTATAGTTTGAGTTTTCGAGATTCAAATTTCAAGTGTTGTACTTCAAGTTAAGAGTGGACAAGATCTGAAATAATGTGTGAATTTTTGAAGTCATTCTACAACATTACTAACTTGATCTCTGGATCTTCTTATCCTACTTCTAATTTGTACTTTGAGGAAATATAGAAGATAAAGTGTCTTTTCAATTCCTATTTGATAAATGAAGATTCTTTAATTCAAGACGTGACTAAAAAAATAAGGGAAAATTTTGACAAGTATTGGAGTGTGTATAATGTTCTCTTGGCTTTTGGTGTTATTTTTGATCCAACAAAAAAATTCAATTTTTTGAGTTTTACATATACAAAAATTGACAAGAACACTAGTGAAGACAAATGCAAAAAGATTAAGGGTGAGTTGTATGAGTTTTATGTGGAATATGTCAAACCTGAGAATTCTTCTAATCCTCCTAATATTTTACAAGTTCTACCTACTTTTGGAGGAGGAAAGAAATCTTTGGCATCCTCGTTATATATTTCTGAAGTAAGTGCAAACTATTATTGTTATTTCTTTTGATTGATTTAATTTTAAATTTTAATCATTTTTTGTATATTTAATTTGTAGGAATTTGAAGAGCACGAAAGTCAAGCAAGTAACAATATAGAAAAATATGAACTTGAGCATTCTAATAACCACAATGGCATCTATAATGCCTCAGACTACTTTCAGGATTACCGACTGATTTCACGAACCAACACAAGTCTTTTCAGCATGCTTTGTTCTCGCTCACGCGCTATTTTGGAAACTTCCCAAAAGGTCACCCATCCAAATACTACTTCAAGTCAAGCACGCTTAATTGTGGATTTTTTATCTGTTAGGCTACCGAAAATAAGATGAATCTTGTTGGTATAGATAGTACCAACTAATCCTGATAACCATTCCTTCAACCATGCAGTCTATTTCCTATACAGCCTCAAGATCCCCATCATATCAATGTGGCGACCACTTCTAGCCCTCTGTGGTCTCGAGTGCTACATGCGGTACAATCATTCTTCGCCCTCTTCGACCTCAAGTGTTACATCATTTGTATATACTTTTAGTATTGACTCTCGAGTTTTAAACAAGTATATAAGTTCAATGAAAGAGAAATCCGTTCAAGCTCTCATGTGCACATAAAATTGGTTATATGGTTTTGCAGATAAACTTGTTAACTTTACTCAAGTGTATCATAGGTTCAAGCTCTCATGTGCACATAAAATTGGTTATATGGTTTTGCAGATAAACTTGTTAACTTTACTCAAGTGTATCATAGATTCATAATTTTGCATGTTATTTACTCCTATAATATATTTTTTAGTATTGCTTATATGTTTTTAGAATTATCAGAGTGTTGTACGTTATGCATGTTATAAACTTGGTTATATGCTTTTAATATTTTTTTAACGACTACTTTTCTTGTTTTGTAGAACTTGATAATGACATTAATACTAATCAAGATGATGGAAATGAACAAACATCGAACACATGTGAATATCGTTAAAGAAAGCTCAAGTGACTTTGCGATAATTTGAAACGTATTTTAGATACTTTGAATTAAATTAATGTGTTGTTTTACATTTAACAATGTAAAAAAGATTTTGTCGTAAATTCTATGATAATTTATTTCTTAAGGTTATATTAGACTTAAATTAATATATAATAAATATTTCATTTTCATTTAGAAATCATAAAATAAAATAAAACTATTTTTTATTAACTAATTGATTAGTTATAAATATTTGTTTCATAGATGAAGTTTATGCTTCAACAACTTTTTAAATGATTTGTTTCTAAAAAATATTTTAATAAAAAATAAGGTGTATAAATTTTATTATTAGGCATTATACTTTTTCTTATTTTAATTTTGATATATTTAAAAAATCCTAACTTTAAGTTATTGTTTAATCAGAAAAGCTAATTTCTATGTATTATTTTATTTATTAAAATCAAATAGTAATTGTTTATTTTTTCAAATATTATCTTTTAAATGCATTTAAAATTATTAAATAAGATAATATATTAATACAATTGATATATTTTGATTTTAATTTTTTTAATATTCTATTAATTCGGATATGTCTATTCAAAAACTTCAAGATTAAATATTGAGTTATTTTAGATATGCATATTCGGAAACACTCAAGACTAATATTGAGTTATTTCGAATATGTATATTTTAAAATATTATTTTTCTTGTAAAAAAAAGATGAATTTGATGAATTTGAAAATACATCTCCGAAATAATTCCAGAAAAAATAAATTATGATGCGTTCGAAAATACATATCTGTATTCTATAGGTAAAAACGAAATTTCATCAAAAATAGCTAAGAAGATGTAAGGGTAGGAAAATAAATTCCCTAGTATATCTCTCTTTGTTTTTCTATTTATAATTTTTTTCAGAATATTCAATTTGACAAATAGAATTTTTTTCCCTTCAAATCAGTAGCTAGAATTGTGTAAGGTGATATATTTTTTTTCTAGAACCTTATTTCAGTTGATGAATTAGTTGTAGGTTTTAATGATTATGCATTTAAAAATATAGACAAGAAGGAATTAAAATCTAAAAGATATTTTAGTGATGGATTTTCCCTTCGTTAAATTTATCTTAAAAGTTAGATATTATATTTCATCATTTCATCTAGTATATCAACGATAATTAAAATCGTTATTAACATTTAGACGGAAAAATTTAACTTGATTCAATTTTTAAAATTAAAGGATTAAAATGGTATTTTTAAAAGTTAATGGATCAAACAAGATTCTGAGTCAAAGATAATAGACGTAAAATGATATTTTGTCTTTAAAAAACATAATTTAAATTAATTAAATTGTTTTTAACATTATTTAATTTTAAACTAGAGAGATTTATTCCAGATAAATTACTCATTGACATTATAGTTATATCTAAAATTTAAACCCTTAGAAAATAGAAGGATAAAAGAGTTTTGTGATAGAGAGAAAATACATTAGGGTGTTTGAATGGTGGAAATTGGTCTAGTAGAGAAAATATAGGAGAATGTCAATAGATGGAATCCATTTACACAAATTATACTAGATTTCATTTTATTTTATTTTTTCGTTTTTATTGTTTAGTGTATATATTCAAAATGTATTTTTTACAATATATCTTCAAAAACTAAATCATGATTATTCATTAATCAACAAAAGCATTATGATTTTTTTTAAATCATGTATTGGTTGAGTTTGTTCCATTCATCCACAACCTAAACACTTAATATTGGATCATAGTTAATTCTAAGTTCTAACCACTACACTTATATTTAAACCCTATCAATAATTATATAAAAAAAATCAATCAAACTAATACCAAGAAAATCAATGCAACAATGGCCAATCTCTCTTCTCATATAGCAACTATCATGTTACTTCTGTTGATCACCACCATAAACAAATCTTCCTCAGCAAGAACTCTTGTTAATCCAACTCCTAATCACTATCATGGCCATCATAGAATAACATTTTTAATGCCACATATGTTAAATGATACACACCCTAATAATAATTCAGAGAAACCTACCACAACTAAGGTCACAAATCCAAAACCTATAGAATTTTCCCCTCCAAATGAAGAGATACCTATTCCACAATCAACTCAAACACAAACACAAACACTTGATCTTTCTACCATTGGTTTCTCTTTTCCTACTAGAGCAGCATTCCAAGAACTCGAATTTGGATCTGTAACACCAATCGACGAGGAGCTACTAGTTGAAGGTGGTGACGGAGATGAACTAAAGAAACTTGGAAAAGCACAAGGGGTTTATGTAGCTAGTGAAGAAGATGGAAGTAGTCATATGGTGGCTATGACAGTGAGTTTTGTGAAAGGTGAGTTTCAAGATGGATTGAGGCTTTTTGGAGTTCATAGGAGTGATGTTTTTGAGTCACATGTTGCTGTTATTGGAGGGACAGGAAAATACTATGGTGCTAATGGTTATGCTGTTGTTAAGGTTGTTGATAAAGTAGGGTCTAGTAAAGTAGAAGGAAAAGTTATAAGTTCTAAATTCCTTCTGTTTGATGTGTATTTTAGTTAGTAGCATGTTTTAAAAAGTCACAAGTGTGTTTTCTGATATTCTCTATAGTATTGAAATTCTACTTAATATGAACTAGATTCTGTTTTCTGGTATTATAATTGCATGAACACATACACCCTAAAATAGTTGGCATTGATTCGGTCACGGTTTTAGGGATGGATCTTAACCTCCATTGAAAGACGAAGGTATTGTAGAAATGGAAAACATTTCTCGCTATTCATAAATAGTAAACAGGTCGATTATTCTACATCGTATACAGACAAAAACACATCCGATATGAACCATTGTAATACAAATTTTAGAAATTACAGTAAACAGGCCTTGAACCCCTTCTCCAAATCCTTAGTATCCAAGTTCTTCCCTATGAAAACAATTTTGTTTGTCCTTGGTTCATCTGCCCTCCACACCCTTTCCGGGGAACCTTGAAATATGTCATGAACTCCCTGTTACAGAAAAAATCATGCTTAATTCAGCAAAACTGAACATAGTGTACGATAACAGTGAAAGTGAAAGTATGTCGGGCATGGGCAACGGCAGATGATGAGAAGAGATGGAGAGATTATAGCCGCTTGATTGAAAACAACAATAAATAGCATAAATGTAAATTTAAAGTCACCTGAAAGACAAATCTTTCATTCATTCCTTCAACAGATAAAAGACCTTTCATCCTATAAATGTCTTCACTATGCTCCATCAATAAGTTACCGAGCCACATGTTAGCCTGAAGAATAAATGGGTTAGTTAGTTGCCCTTCCGGTACATAAATGCCAACAATGACTTTTTAATGAACTTGTTTTTAAGCAGAAAAATTGCAAGCACTAACCTTCTCGAGATCTAAGTTTCCTTCACAAACTATGCTCACAGATGAAACTCCAGGATCGTGAGTATGATCATGAGAATGGTGATCTGGATATATAAAACAAAAAATTATCCTTCATAGCAAAACTATGCAGAAAAATTAAGAATTTTCTACAAGCTGTATCATTATACTGTGTCTCTATGAATAGAGAAAGTATTGAACTGGGAAGCAAATAGGTAAAAACTGATGGAGTTGGAGACCATGCAAATATTAAAATTAGATGGAACTGCGATATAAAAAAAGACACTGTTGCAACCTTAACAGTGTTAAAAACAAGAACATGACACAAATTCAGTTAACACACAAGAAAAATTTATAGGTACCATGCTTGTGGTCATGTGACTCATCATGGTGATGGTGGTCATGATCATGATGATGGTGTTCATGGTTATGGTCGTCGCTATGGCTATGGGCATGATCTTCTTCTTTTGATCCTTCATCATTAACAGCACTCTCAATCCTTTAAAAGATTAAGAAGACATGAACAAATCATATAGTCAGGCTTGAACAGTAAAAACATAAGAAAATGAGAGTGATTTCAGTATATGGTCAACAAAAAAATGAAAATAAGTATACGAACAGGCTAGTAGATCAGTAGGATCTACGTGATTAAAACAAAACTAATTGTGCAGAGAACAAGTAAACCTACATTAAAATTTACCTTTTTATTAAACAGTTGAAAAAGAATGAAACAAAGCAAAAATGTACCTTTCCAAATCAAAGCCTCCAATGCCAAGAACATAATCCAAGTTCACCTTTCCATACTCTGTCCGCTTCAAATTGGCCAAGGTATTAATTTTCTGAAATAAATAACGCAATAACATTAGTCATGTGTTTCAAAATAATGAATTAAATTTAAGATTAGAACCGAACGCTTAGATACAGTAGAGAGAGAAAGACTAACCCTAATCCGCTGGACCAAAGAAGTGATGTCTGATTCACCAACAAGATCAGTCTGGTACAAGATAGACAAGAGTATTATTAGAACCACTTTGTATTATCGTCTAGCTTAGAGAGAATTCCCAGTTAAAATAAGTTTATGGCTATACCTTGCAGGAAAGTCCTTAAAAGCTTAATTAAGGATTTTCAAATATTTTTCAGATGCAGTAAATGATTTAAACTGTGTGACAAGATGTTTTTGAACAAACTCATGATTATTGTAAGATTCTTTTAACCTTTATTTTTACACAAGAATTTCTCGAGAATTTATCCAGACAGTTTTATAGAATCTATATCTTGCACAAAGAAGAAAGTATTTGTTTCATTCCATATCACACTACATAGTTCAGTTCAAGCATAATTTCGAATTAGATGCATAGAAGGACCGGGTCGACCATACTGCAATATAGTGTAGGCAATAACACCCTATAGTAGCAGAGCAGTTCAGTGTAGTGGCCACATTGGAAGCCATAGCAGGCGAAACAATAGTTGTCGCGGCGAGATTGTGCTGCACCTCATAATGAGATGAAAAGTTCCAAAAAAGCCCTTAAGATTTAAATGTTGGGGCTTTGTAGTTGAGTATTTGAAAACATTTACAACTGAAATATACCAAAACTGTGTTGGGGCTTTCCTCTCACTCTACCTCACTCCTACTGTCATTTTCCTCCTCTCAGTGTAAGTCACAGCTAATTGTTGAATTTTTATGTATGTATAAAAGTTTCAAATAAGGGACATCGGCCTCCTGCTATCCCATTATCACATTTTGGGGTCGGCTCCTACACTCCTCTGTCTAGGATTGATAACACTACTGCATTATAACTTTATTAGCCAATACCTGTCTTTAAAAAACTCATAATTCTTGCAAGATTCTTTTAATACTTCTTTTTTCCAAAAGTGTTTCAATGTTGCCAATAACGGATAGCGGAAATTAGTGGTTTGTTAATATTCCGCTCCGCAACAAAACTAAAGTCGTTGTCTTACGATATTTTGTACTATGTAGAATATTGTGGAACAATAGTGAACGTTCAAATTCCGCTGTTCAATAGCACAACAGCGTCGTCACTATAGCCATTATTTAACAACACCAGAGTGCTTTGCGAGGAGTTTATCTAAATGGCACAAAGGAAGTATTCATTTCCTTCCATAACCCGATGTAGAACTTTTAGAATACTTCCGAATTCGATATATGGAAGGATATATAACCATAACCATGCTAAACATTATTAAGTTATCTATTTAGTATTTACTAAATCTAAATCAATGCGCCATATTCTCAATAATCTATGTTTTTCATAAACAAAAACCTAAAAGTCATCCAGCACTAAGAATAAATTACTCATCAATACCTTATTCACAATTATTCGATCGGCATAAGCTATCTGTTCTACTGCCTCATTGACCACACCTTCTGACTTAACCTCATCAAGATGACGACCAGCATGTTTCGCATCAACCAAAGTGACAACACCATCCAACTTGACTTCATTGAAAATATTCTCCTCGGCATAAAAAGTCTGTATTATCGGCGCTGGATTTGCCAAACCTGCAGAAACACAAACAACGAATAAAATCTCATCAATCACTAAAACCCTAACAAGCAGTTCCATTTCGCAATTACAATCTACACCAACGCATGATTTTCCAACTTGCTTAGTTACTTTCTTACCAGTAGTCTCTATAACAATATGGTCAAATTTCCCTTTCTTCGAAGTGACTAATTCAGAAATCATTCTAACAAGATCACCCCTCACAGTACAACAAAGGCAGCCATTGTTCAACAACATAATATCTTCAGCACCAGCTGTTTTCGACGCAACTAAAGAGCCATCTATATCAATTTCACCGAACTAAAATCGATACAAAAAGCCATAATTATAATCATACTAATAATCATAGTCATAAATTACAAAGCACATACTTATACATCAACACCAGTAATAATTTGAATAAATAAATAAATTAAAGGTAATCACAAGTGTCAGTGTGGCAGGAACACACATAGTAGAGATTGATTTCACAACGCCACATACCTCATTTTCAATAACCGCAATTCTTTTTCCATGTTCCGCTGTCAAAATATGGTTTAGCAGCGTCGTCTGTTCAATTTCCAAGTCAAAATCAAATTTCAATTTCATAAACAGACATGAAAATGAGAGCATAAGATAAGATACCTTGCCGGAACCGAGAAAACCGGTGATAATAGTCGCCGGAATACGATTATCCTGTGGAATAACGGTGGAGACTTCTTCGTCTTCATCGGTTTGAGGCGGTGATACAGTTGATGATGATGCTACAGTGAAGCGGCGAACTGGTGTTGTATGGATGTTGTTGTTGCATAATAGTTTAGACACCGGAGATGAGTTAGAGCGATGTAAAAAAGTAGTTTTTGTTATTCTTGTGTTGTTGGAGAGAAGATTGAAGGTTCTGGGTTTGCGATAAGCAACACATAATAAGCTAGAAGCAAACTCAGTGAAAGAAGCCATGAAAAATGACGATTGTTTGTTCGTAGATGCTTACACACACTAGGTCACTAGCCACAACTACAAGCTTCTTTTTTGTATTTTTTGTGTTGGAATTTTGGATTGATTTTCTTCTTCAAAATTGGGCTTCTAGCCTTCTACAATGTTCAATCCGACCCATGTAAGGCTCGGAGAATCTAGGATACATATGAAATTACTTAATACACCACAGGGTGTAATAGTGATTTGCTAAGTTCAATAAAATGGGTATATGATAATGGTTTACTTGCATCTAAGGTTCGCTACAAAGACTTTTTCAAGATCAAAGAACAAGTGTATCATCAAGAAAAGAAATGAATACTAAACTCTCTCAAAAGAAAAATCTATAGAAAAAATAAATCAAATCTATTTTTACATAGTTACTTTTAGCATTGTAGTATTATATGTGTGAGAGTCTCAAATAAGAGCGACATACGAATCCTCATCACATAAAATATTGTCCAGAGTGTAACCTTTATGTGACACAGGGGCTCCCCCTCGAGGAAGATGTGTACAAATATTGTTATCCAGTCACTAACCACAAGAAAACGAAGTTATACCATGACTCCTTAGAAAATAAACAATTGAAAATCTCCCTCAGACAAGGAAGATTGGTTGCCACCTCTTGAGACCTCCTAAACTTTAGGTTCAAATGCCTCTATAAATATCAACCCTAAGGATTGAGGAATAGATCAATATGTCGTCAGTATACACACAAACTACAAAGTTTCTCACCTCACGTGAACTTACTCTCTCCGTAGCCAAAAAAACACCACCAAACAGGGTCTCTCACAACTGTGAGCAAGCCCTAACCACCAAAAATTACAAAGGCCTCTGGTTATCCCCTACCCGCAAATGAATACCATGCACCCATGTATTTTTTGACAAGTACAATGGCGCCCACCATGGGCCCTGATAAAACTAACTTGGATCACACCTTTCATTACAATTTCCATTTTGATATCCACGGCCACCTCCACTCTTGTGCCTAGCCATTTCCAACCATGGTTAACAGGTGAGTACCATCCCTTACACCGGAAGTAGTAGTGATGTCAACACCCTGGCGGAGATGCGTACCTCTATAGATGAGTTGTATCGTCATAATTAAAGTTTGGAGGACAACATCCACAATATCCAACAACGCCAACAAGAGACTAACCCTCGTGAGGAGATAGAAGTGTTAGACCATCAGCCACTCTCAGACGAAATATGGGGAGTGTATGTCCCTGAAAGGTTCTAGCCTTCCTCTTTAATGAAGTTTGATAGGCGTAATGATTCTTATGAACACATCGTCTCCATCAACACAAAGATGACCATCATCGGAGTGCCTTACTTCTTTAAGCGTAAATTTTTGTCTAGCACCTTTAAGGACACAACCTTGTGATGGTATATGGGTCTGCACTGAGCTGTTGTTGTCAGCTATCAAGAGCTGGTGAAGAAGCTTATACACCAGTTCGCAACCAGTCGACACGTGAAGATATCCACCACCAGCTTATTTAACATACGTCAGGGGCTCTCAGAGTCGATGAAGGAATATCTTTCCCTCTTTAATGAGACTACCATAAAGGTCATTCCCTTAAATCAATAAATGTTTGTGTGGTGCTCCAAAATGGTCTAAAAGTGTAACACATTAACAAGTCTCTTGTAACACCCCAAATCTACCCCACAGTTATATTAAAATCAGAGTGCCAAAATTTCCGCAAACATGGGGCATTACATTCTCATTCCAAAAACCAACAACATAAAAACCTATCATAATAGATACATAGCACATATTGATCCAAAGAACTTATAACCATTTATTAGTCTTCAAAAGTATTTCAACTTGATTCCATAAATATGCAGCGGATTCATAACTTTAAAACTTCAAAGGAAACATATCATCTTTTAAACAACTTAATTCAAAGAAAACAACTTCTTAAAACAGCAACTTGAATTAAACTTAAAACATCATAAAATCAAATAAGCGTTCATCCCCCCCCCCCCCGAGTGCTACGTATAAGAGCGACGACACCAACAAGCTACTAAGTCTCTACTCCTCGTTACCTGCACGTTACCAGTATAAAGGCAACAGCGAAACAAATAAAGGGGTGAGACATCGAATAATATAAATAAGATTATGATAATTAATATATTAGACAAGAGCATTATAAACTTCACCGCTTCTCAACAACACACAACAATCAATAAACGTTCACGATTATCATTAGCGATTCAAAATGCAATTCGAATGCGACACAACTGTGCATATGCATGTGGTACCAACAGGGCTTCAGCCCTCTTCACTAATTGCCAATTAATAGAGGCACAAGGCATAAGCCTACTTCACAAATCCGCCAATACATGCCTTCACAAAATGCAAATGTATGAGACTCATGTAACATACAACATCACATATCTATCATTCACCATAAACTTCATTTCGAGGCATTCGCCTACATCCCTGCATCACTGGCAATAAGCCTAACACTTCACATATTCAATCACATCTCGATTATCTCAAAAAAACAACATCTCATAAACATCTCAAAACAACAACATCTCAATCATCTCAAACATCTCATTTAACAACATCTCATAACATCAAAATAATTTATTAAACATCATTTATTATCACAAAAATCATCAAACACAACTTCGTCAATAACATCTCACTAATACTCAACTGTATAATAATAGTACAGTAACCCATCTTGTTATTCTGCTAATTTATATCGTTACTGTCACTAATCCTACTGTCATAATTCTAACAGCAGCCTCTAAACATCTACTATTCATCATTCTGTCCAAAAATCAGCACAACGACCAACAATATAATTAATTTCTAAATCCTAAATTGGTTACTGGAATTACACTTCTTATCCATCATTTAAATCATCTAGAATAATATTCATCGCGTTAGCTAATCAACGCTTCGAACGACATCTCAAACAGCATCCTACAACTCAAGTTACAACAATTAAAAGTCAATTCTGTCATAAATCTAGCATTATGTATCGACACAAAACTCCTTGGATCGACATATCCTGCTTCAAATCACAGCATGTTTCGACACATGCACTTACCGATCGACTCATCCTGACTTCAAAATGCAGCGTGTATCAACACATGCATCGCACCGGTCGACTCATCCTGAGTCTCACACACTCATGTGTCGACACATTCTCTCTTCGCGTCGACTCATCATGAGTCTTATACTCATCATGCATCGACACATCCTCTCTTCGCGTCGACTCATCCTGAGTCAAATATCCTTCATGTATCGACGCATCTGGTTTAAGGTCGACACATCCTTCGACAGTCTGCATAATTTTCTGCGTTTTCTACTGTATTATGCTACGGGAATCATACTACAGCCCTACAAACCTTATTATGATCATGTTAAATCATCACCTATCATTAACCTATAATACTACATCATTTACACAACATCATAACATCATTATTCATCAAGAATTCATCAATCATCATCATACATCATTCAATTCAATAACAAAAACAGCAATCCTCTAACCCACATATCAAACATCATATTCCCGGTTATAAAATCCGAACCCCCACCCTTACCTTTTGGTTTATCGGTTGGTTGAATTCTCCGGTTGAAACTGCAACTGGTTTGACGACGAGTTCTCTAAATTTGCTTGCCTCCCACTTGGTGCCTCCAAACCCTTGCTTCTTCTACTGCTACGTGATAATTGTTTTGCTTTTGGTTGCTAACCTCTATATATTATAACCTAATATAATAATAGGTCTACTAGTAACTTTAATGGGCCTATTAATTCTATTCCTAATCTTGCTATTTCACACGCCCCACTTGACCCAACTAACAGAATAACATTCTACTAAAATCAACATTAAATCCAATATTAATTTCTCTTGACTAAATTGACTAATTATTCGATTACCAATTCTAATAATCCAATAATTCTCCTAATAATTATTTCGATAATTCCTTCTTCGACTAAATTCCAACAATTTAAATCCTCAATAATTCATTTAAATAATTTAATGAATTTCCGGGCGTTACATCTCTCACTCTAAAATAAGCACTTTTGTTGGTAGAATTAGTCATAAGGGGGGAATGGTACATAAAGAGAAATGAGAACACGGAGAAAAGGTGTGGGCGTTAAGGAGCGTGTTTCTAGAGCTCGCAGTTCAAAATTCAGTGGAGAGCTTCACACCCTTAAATACCCGCCATGAATAGATCTGGCGTGAGGTTTTTCACATGCATAAATATCCATGTGCCTTTTTCCCCAAAGAAAGACATTGTGGGACTCGAACCAGGTTAATGGTTTAAGTTCCATAAAGTCAAAGGGCACCCCATAAAGGATTGTTATCAACTCAAGAAGGAGATTGAGCGATTGATCTAGGAGAGACACCTCAAGAAGTATGTCAAGGGTGATTTCTCCCGAGGGTCATACAGGTCTAATTCTTATGGGTGAGACGATGCAAGGAGCCTTAAATCCATAGGAGAAAAGGAACCATCCAAAGAGAGTGTGGCGAGGTCGTGCGTCATACGTTCAATACAATTGCATAAGGGTTCACTGGGGACGGGGAGACTAGCTTTTCCCGTAGAAGGTATTCCCACCAAGTATAAAATATAGAAGATCTCCCCATGGAGTTGGGCAAACGAGAGTCAAAGATGCCAAAATTTGAAATTTCCTTCTTAGAGAGAGATATAGCTGACATTCACCCACACAATGACGATACCATGTTCATCATTGTTAGGTGTGATGACTAGGGTATCATACAAGTTTCTGTATAACAAGGAAGCTTTACAGATATCATCTATTAGGACGCATTTGAGAGGCTCCACCTCGACCCAAATGACTTAAAAGCCTTCAAAGGATTGCTAGTTGGATTCTTTGGGGAGCAAGTGCAAGTGAAATGCTACATAACATATATGAACATATTTGGGGCAAAAAATAAATCCAGGGAGATTAAAGTCAGGTATCTAGTTATCGATACCCCTTTTTCTTATAATA